TGATTCTTCAGGCTTTTACCCTGGTTCGGCCACTCCAGACACATTCTCTTCTAATAAAATTAATAGAGTCAACAAAAATTATTAGGTATCTTCTGTGTGAGACAGCCCTGAGTTCACAACACTGGTCATGACTGGGAAGCCTGAAGTTGTTTCTGATTTGTGGCAACTCTCCCCTCCCCAGTCCCTACAGCGCAGACGTTCACTTCCTCCCCAGGAGATAAGGACCCAGCACTACAGCTCCTGAATTTGACCATCCAACAGATGCAGACAAAAGAGGGAAGAGAGCGGCCAATGGGCACCCATGACAAGCGATGAAATTAGGTGTTAGAAGTAATGTACGTTTCCGATGCATACTGATTTCACTGTCATCACCTAGGGTACGAGTTCTACATAGGAAACTAACCACATGCTTAACCCAGGGAACCAGAGAAGTGAATCTATTTATGGATGTGAAAGACGTCTGCAGTCTTACCAGGTTTTGCTCATCCCTCTGAAAAAACACAGCCTCTTCTAAGCAAAACTTCTCTTTCAAAGGCATTATCACCTTGTTTCTTGGTTGATTTTTTTTTTAATGTCATAAATGTTTATTCTAACTTAAAGAATTAGCCATGTAACTGCCACTGTCAAATTCTGACCTACTACCAAATCTAACTTAAATTTATACAGTTCTTTAACCCCAAGGTTTTTAAGGAGCTTGAATCTTTTAAAAATAGTATTTAAATTTATTGTTTCACGTTCGGTCTAGTGAGGCATAAGCTGGGATGGCTTAAGTATCTCAGACGTCCACGCTTCTTTCCTTTACAATTATAGGTCATGGGCTTCATCAACCTAGTCCTTGATTTGCAGCTAAAAAAGGTAAAAAGTCTGTGTGAAGTGACAAAAAGTGACAGTACTGTAAAAATGATCCTGCAGTCAGGACGCCTCAGGGAACGAGCACTGATTAGCTGAGCACATTCTGCCGTAACTCTGACACATTCAGTCTGAGGAACTCTGTGGGTAGAGATGTCATTCTCTTCTTTGATTCTCTTTTACAAAAAAGAGAGCAGAATTCAAGTCTTTGTCAAAGCGATTAACGGCCTTTCCGTTTCTTCATTTTTCCTCCAGCCACCTTGTTCCTGACACCTAGAGCACCCTCTGTGTCATCATTGTCCCCAGTATCCTCTCGCGTGCGCTTCTTCTTTTCTCCATGTTCCCTTAACTCCTACCAGAAAACCGAAAGGATGAGATTGAAATTGAGTTACTGTCACCGAGACTAATACCTTTGAGTCCCTTCTCTGAGGCCAAGCACTCAGTAACTTTCTGATACCTGACATTAGCAAAGGCATAAGACCCAACTCTAAATGTACAAAAATGTTAATCTTATCAGTAATGAGAGCATGAAAATTAAAATAGTAAGCTATATTTTCACATGGCAGATTGGCAAAGATTTAAGAGAATGGTAATACCTCGTATTGGCTAAGGCGAGGGAAAAGTCATATATACTGTCACTGACATGTTAAGATGCTATAACTTTTCTAGGGCGTGCAATCTGGCATTCTGTATAAATTCAAATTTTAACTGTACTCCTTAATGTAACAAGGAGAACACTTCTACTTCTAGGAGTTTATTCTAAAGAAACAAGATAAATATACAAAGCTGTACTTCCTCAGGTGTTCAACACAGTGCTAGTTAGAAAAAAACAACTGGAAAAAATCATAACATCCATCAATGTAAATCACACTGGAATTCCTTTGGGCAATTATGAAATGATCACATGGATTTGTACTTGCTGAAACACAAAAATGTTAAAGATATATAATTAGATAAAGTCCAATTATGGCTAAAGAAAGAAAAATAGCAAAATGTTATCAACGGATCTCTGTGAGGACTGGTTTACATTTACTACTTTAATCTTTTCTGCATTTTTCCCCTAATGCACATGTAACACTTTTATAAACAAAAACACCAAATAAAAATCCCATGTGAGCTGAAAAACAAAAACGGTCTGTACCTCAGCTACTTAGAAAGTAACCTAAGCAAAGGTTACTTTCTAAGGTTTCTTAGAAAGAAGAATGGCAAAGTTTCTTCATCCTTCAGACTATTAACTCCAGAAAGCAAGCAGCACTTCCACAGACTTTCCTCTAGAACCTTCTCATCACCACTACTGTTACTACTATGTACTATAAGCTGAATATCCCTTATCTGAAATGCTTGGCACCAGAAGTGTTTCGGATTTTAAATATTTTTACATTTTGGAATATTTGCACATATATAATGAGATCCCTTGGGAATGAGACCAAAATCTAAACATAAAATTCATTTATGTTTCATACGCACTTTACATATATAGCCCGAAGATAATTTTACACAATATTTTGAAGAATTTTGCACATTAAACAAAGTTTTGACTGCATTTTGATTGCAACTCATCACAAGAGGTCAGGTGTGGAGTGTTCTACTCAGAGTGTCACATTGGTGCCCCAAAAGTTCCAGGTTTTGGAGCATTTTGGATTTCAGATTCTCAGATTAGGGATGCTCGATCTTTACTAGTAACTATATAGTTTATATGTTGGCTTATGAGACAAGTATTATTCCCAATTTACAGGTGAGAAATTCAATCTTAGAGATTGGGTAAATTGCCTAAGCTTATTCAGTTCACAGCTGGGTCTTCTGACCTCAAGTCCAGTGGTTTTCTTGCCACATGTAATATATGAAGAGCAGCTGAGAATGTGACCATTCTGCTTAGAAGGTCTGACTCCAAATCCCAATTCAATCATTTAAGTGTATGGTCTACAGCCAATTACCTACCATCTCTGTTCCTTAGTTTGTTCATCTCTTTTTTTTAAAGAGATGGAGTCTTGGCTCAGCAACCCATAGCTCAGTGGTTATGCCACCAGCCATAGGCACCAGGGCTGATGGGTTTGAACCCAGCCTGGGCTTGCTAAACAACAATGACAACTACAACAAAAAACTAGCCAAGCAATGTGGTGGGTGCCTGTAGTCCCAGCTACTTGGGAGACTGAGGCAAGAGAATCACTTAAGCCCAAGAGTTT